TTTCGATGAGTATTTTTTTTTTTTTTCTCTACAATTTTGAGTATACATAGCATTTCTTTTTAATTTGGCAATTCTATTCTTATTAGCTCTAATTTGAGTCTGAAGGTTGCTTATTTTTATATATGTATCATGTTTAAACTGAGTATTTGTTGAAATACTGTAAATTTGCTCGAATTCTGTAAGTTTTTTTTCTGCTATGGTGATTTCGTTTGCTGCTTTTTTTTGTGCTGCTGCATTTGCGGGAACTTTAGATACAGGTTCTACCGGATGGATAGTAGGGAGGGAGGGTTCTAAGGTCTCTTCGGGTATATATCTTGATTTTACTGTCTGTATATTATATAGATTAAACGAAGTGTTTAGATATTTTTTAATTATATCGTCGATTTCTAGTGCATTTTTGGTTTTGATTTTATTCCATTCTTGAGTTGCCTCGTTACAAGCTTTAGCATGATTAGGGATACTGTTTCCCGTCTTCATCATAATACTATATATGTATGTGTTTGTAAACTCTTGATATTTATTTGCTGGCGAATTATAAATCGGGGTTTTTTTAAACTTTGGAGTTAAAAAATACATTTGACGCAACACTTTCTTTCCATCCTTGTCAGTGTTTACGCCTTGTTGGTTGCAGAAGCCAAGTTTATTTTGTTCATTTGAATTGCCATCTTTGTTATGTCTGATGGATTTATCACTTTCATTTTGTCTACCAGAATTACTGCCAATTTGTCCAACAGAATTTCCACCGTCAGCAGCTTTCTTTTTGCCTTTGGAAGTTCCTATACTTTTTTCATAGCAGGAACCAAGTTTAAGCTGATTATTCATTTTTATAAAAAAAAAAATGGTGTGCGAAGTGAACTATATAATAAAGTGTGACTAGTGTCTTGTTTAGTCAATTAAATTGCTAATTTTGGGGGACGTCTAAAGCGGAGGCAACTCCTATTTCTTTTCCAATTAACTTTAGAGTTAGAGTCATCTTATATTAGGGTTAGGCTAGATTTTAGATAGTTATATATAAGCAAAATTGCCTTCCCGACATTTTTACTTAACCTACCTGAGGTAGATTAAACTGCCGTTCTTTGTATTTTTTAGGTTTTTCGTTTTTGTTTCTTGTTTTACTTCGCCGGCGATCATCAAAATTCTATAATTTAATTGGCTGTGGTTACATGAAATTGCCCCGCTTTAGTTGGCTCCTTTTCTTATATTACCTTGGGGTGGGGGGTAGGCATCTATAGTAAATTGATATTACATAATATATGTCATAGCCCTAAATCCTGCCCATAATTCAATAGATAATAGTACTATTGAATTAAAATTAGAATATCATTTAAGTGAAGTTAAAAAGAAATATCAATAATTATTAACTATAGTAAAAAATTCAAATAATTATAAAGTTATTTTAATTGATTAATATTACTATTAAATTGTAATTGGGAGTCCACGAGTAAGCCAGAGAGTGATATGACTCAGATTACTATATAAATTTACTATAGTGCAAATGTGGCCTGTACGAATCTAAAGTTTTTTTTTATACTAAGTTAATCACCCTTCTAACTTAAGAGACTTTTGTAAAGCTTGTCAAAATGCATCTAATGGTAGTTAGAACGTCAAAATCGGCCTAGTGGATGCTGAGATATCATTAAAAAACCTTTCTTTTACTATATAAATTTCTTTGCAAATAATAATATTTTTGCAAAGAAATTTATAGTAAAAAGGGTTTTTAAAGATATCTCAACACCCACCAGGCCGATTTTGACGGTTTAACTACCATTAGATGCGTTTTGACAAGCTTTACAAAAGTCCCTTAAGTTAGAAGAATGATTAACCTAGTATAAAAAAAAAATTTAAATTCGTGCAGGCCACATTCACACTATAGTAAATTTATATAGTAATTTGAGTCATATCACTCTCTGGCTTACTTGTGAACTCCCAATTAATGAACATAAAATATTAGAAAGTATTATAAATTTTATTATTTATATATTTAATAGGTATTATTAATTTTATATGATTAATTATAGCCTGAATTTTGGTCTCATGTATTTGATTTGGCAGCTGATCAAGAGACACTAGCATATTTATATAATTCTGATTTGTTAAATATTTCTTTTCTTAATATAAAACTAGATGCTAAATTTAATTCAAAAGCATGATTTTAAAAAAGTATAGAAAATTCTATTCAAAAAAATAAAAATAGATTAGATAGAAAGTAACGTATACTTTCTATAATTGCTAAGAATTTTAAACAAAAGAGCTACATAACAATTTAAAAATATCAAACAATCTTGTATATGCAGCTAAATGGTATGCTAGAGTTAATGGACCTGGTTGTCTAGCAATTAGAAACCCCAAAATTACACAAACACAAGTTTCTAAAATACAAGATACACAATTTGAAGCCTTTTTTACTAATAAGAAAAATATAACAATAAGCTCTTATGATGTTGATATTAAAACTAGCTTATCTATGCTTTATCTTAAAGATAACAAAACAGCACTTTGGGAAAAGTTTGAGGCAACTTATCCAGATAGAATTAAAAGAACATCATATATAGTACATTTTGCTCATAGTTGTTATATATATCAAAAAGATCTTAGAGAACTATGTAATATATACAATGAATATAAGTATGAAGTTTTTGATAATTTAATTCAGCAAAACTCTAATAAATTAGTGCGAGGTTATCAAAGAAAAAAAAAAAAAAAAGAGATTGGGATCTCGCAGCCTAGTGGTCTAGGAACCCAATCCTCGATGAGCG